GGATGGGGTGGTTGTAGAGCTCCCTGAGTTTTTCTGCTCAAGGCTAGTGCTCTACCATTTTGAGCCATAGCATCACTCTGGTTTTCTGGTGGATAATCAGAGATAAGAATCTCATGGACTTTGCTGCCCTGCCTGGCTTTGAACTGCAATCCTCAGATCTCAGCCTCCTGAGTTGCTAGGATAACAGTTGTGCAAGGGTATTGTGAAAGTATCTAAAGAGATGGTTAGATTGCAAAGTTCTTCGGGTGGCTTTTAAGATTAAACACAAGTACACATGTAATAAAAACAAATGCAAAGTTAAAAAAGGTTTTAAAAATTCCACAGTTGAAATAGGCTATGTAACTTGTGAGTAGGGACTGGAGGGGGAAAATAGGGAAGAATGAAGGAAGGTGTGACATTGTTAAGAAGCATTATACTCATAAACCTGACTTACGGAATTGTAGCACCTTTGTAAAACTCTTTAATAACAACAATTAAAAAAAAAACCCCTTTTACGTTAGAGCACCTGAGAATTGCACCTTGAGAACCAGCAGCCTTAAGAAAAGTCAATATATGTTTTATTTTCTCATCTACAAACTAGAGTATATATTATTAGGCCATCACACACAGCACATCTTATCCTCCTTAGTAAATGTGAACATCTTAGATAATAGATTTGTTACAGACATTTTGGAATAAGATTGACCTTTATTTCTTTTATTCTATACAAGTCTTTTTAGTGAAAACTTGTACAAATGCTTCATTTAATTAAAACATTTTGATAGAAGATAACTCCCAAATAGTATAGAAAAGTATAAAGTAGAAAATAAAAGGCCCAGCCAAGCACCTGTGGCTCACATCTGTAATCCTAGCTACTCAGGAGGTTGAGATCTGAGGATCACAGTTCAAAGCCAGCCCAGGCAGGAAACTCCGTGAGACTCTTCAATAAACCACTAGCAAACCGGAAGTTCTATGGTGGCTCAAGTGGTAGAGCACTCACCTTGAGCTGAGTAGCTGAGGGATAGTGCCCAAGCCCAGAGTTCAAGCCCCATGACCACACACACACACACACACACACAAAAAAAGAAAAAGAAAGGAGAAAGAAAAGGCCCTTCCTTCACTTTCATCCTCAACCAGCAAAACTTCACTGGACTGACAGGTTTTTAGATTTTTTCCTTTTTACCTTCATTTTAAACAAGTTTGTTCATTTTTAAAATTATACTTAGTTAGTTCTGGTCCTGGGATTTAAAACTCAGGGCCTAGGTACTGTCTCTTAACTTTTTGCTCAAAGAAGGTACTTTCCCACTTGAACCACAGCTCTACTTCTGTTTTTGTTTTGCATTGGAGAAAAGAATCTCATGGACTTTCCTCCCCATAATCTTCAGATCTCAGCCTCCTGGGTGGTTCAGATTATAGGTATGAGCCATGGCCATGGATGCCCTGCTTAAACTTTTGATTTTGAGATTATTTTAGATCAAATGCAATTATACAAACTAATAGAGAGTGATGTTGTATGCTCTCCTTATTTTTCTAAATGAAAACATCTTGCCAAGTCTCACAGTGAGTGTGCTGACTTGACACACAGGAGAGGGAACCTGACTTGATCGGGCTTGGAGGAAGACACGAAAGAATGTATGTCTTCTTCCTTGTCTGGGCTTCTCAATTAGAGCGTCTGGTGGGGAGAGTTGGGCCACGTGAATGTCAGGACGAGGTCATGGGAATAGGGACTCCCTATTGTTCAGCTGCATACATCTGTCTTAGTCACTCTGTGATACCACAGACATTGTCTCTTTCTAGCAGGTTTTCTTTCCCCTGCCTTGGTATCGTTCTACCTTTGAAGTTATCAAGACTGTAGAGGAACAATGTAGTTAATATTCACAGGTAAATTTATGATATTAGTCCTTGCTACAGCAAACTTCATAAATAGTCTACTTTCATAGGCAAGAAGGAGGTTACAACTTTGGAAAAAGAGTTTGCTTTTAATAAATTGGGATGCTACTGTTCCTTTGTGATTGAGAGTGTTTTGTTCTGAAATTTTCTTAGAGAGGCACAGATACCCAGGTAAGGTAATGATGGGAAGGTCAAAAGGCACAACTGCCAGCATCCCAGCAGGACATATTTCCTCCCTGGTGTTAGAATAGATGTGATTGGAAAGAAGTGTCATTGCAGAATAGGATAAAAATGGCATACTGGGATTTTCCTTTGTCATGACACTTTTTAAAAAATGAAATTTAGAATACACTAATTACAAGTACGTTGATTCACATAAGTGCTTCTCATTTTCTGTTCCATTTCTTTGTCCCCCTTCCTTGGCTTTTTGAGACAAGGTCTTGCAATACAACCCAGGATAGTCTGGAATTCCTAATACTTCTCGTTCAACCTCCCAAGTCCTGGGATTACAGGCATGTAACCCCACACCTAGACAGTTGTGGTTTATTTCAATTTTTCTTTCTTTTTTTTTTTTTTGCATGTGATCAAGGCTGCCTGTTTTTAAATTTTTATTACTAAGTACTTATACAAAGAGGTCACGATTCCATAAGTTAGGTTATAAGTGACTTGACCAGTGTCTCTTTTCTTACTGAAGGAGATTTACAAAAAACTAAGAAAGGAGGTGTTCAGATGCTCATTCATGCTGGATTTTGGTAGTTTAGAGAGGTTTAGTGTATATTTATGTGTATATTTATGTGCATGCTTGCTTGTTTCTGTACAAGTTGCTTTATCAGGATTCTCAGAATCAGTCCTGCAACAGTGAGACAGGTCATAGGGATCAAGGGTGTTTGTCTGCTTTCACAGAATGGCCTTGAGAGAATGCCCACTCGTGTGATTGTTATGTCTTTCAGTTTTCAAGAAGAACCATAAAGCCTTTAAAGGCAAGGAGGTAATTCACACTTTAAACCAATTCACACTTTAAACCAATACCCTGTGCTTTTGCCCAATATGCCTCTGTCTGATTTTCATTTGACAGTGCCATTGTCCTTACTGGTAACTGTCCAAGAGACAGGAATTTAGATTTACATGGAACCTTCACCCAGACCTGCTGTGTCTCTGGGTTTATCCTCTTGTCTGTGGTAGCCCCAGTCTTCAATCACCCAACATCTCTGTGGATTATTTTTTCTCCTCTCCTCTTCTCCTGTGTGACTAGCTAATACCTGAGCAGTTGTTGATTTTGTCAGTTTCCTTGTTTTCTTTCCTTTCCTTCCCATTTTAACACCCCCCCCATTAGTTAAGCCCATGACTGTTGTAATAAGATTTTCCCTCCATTCTAGTTCCTGGGGCATTAGCAGCCTGCTTGCTTATCTAATTCTTTTATTCTCTCCCTATTCAGAAATTTCTATGGGGCTTTATTGTCTACTATGTGACTTCCACAAATTCTGCATAGATCACAAGGTTTTTCTAGTAGCTTTAGCTGTTTCTCTAATGATTTCTCCTGGCAGTTTTCAACCCACTTCTCCTGTAAGACCAAGTCTACTTCCTTTATCTGTGCCCCTGGCAGTAACTGTGTGAGTCTTGTAAAATTTCTGGATAAAGGGCAAATCCTTTCCCTAGGGCTTGTTTCCAGGGCTAGAATAGATTCAGATGTTGCATAACCTATTTCATTTTTGTTCTCTTACATTTGTGCTAGAAGCCTTGGATCAGGAAGGAAGTAGGATAAAGGAAGACTCCAGTGAGTCCTCCTCTAGCTAGAAAAGATTTCGGGAAGGCTGAGGGCTGCCATAGGCTCTTCAGAGTTTCAGTTAAGACTTCTCCAGGATACACAGAAGCCTTTATATGGAGAGACCTTCTTCAACAGATTTCTGCTTTCCCAGGAAAAAAATTGTATGTGAAGGTATACCAACCACAGGAAAACATACTCTCTGCATTTCTCCTCCACGTTCCCTTGTCATTTTGTTTCAGCTTCTTGATTTAGTACACAGCACCTAGAATTACAGTTATGTAAATTTGTAACTATCTCCCACTGAAACACCTCTTGCTACTTTTATGTTATTCTTTTATATTTTAGTTTATTAGACAGTTAATTTACTATGTCTGGTGTGTGGTAAGCACTTGATATGGTAGATCCTTGATGATTTCTAGTGATATATCATGAGAATGAGGAACCTACAACTCTGTGATTGTCATTAATTGATCCTTAGTTTCTGCCCCCAACTAAATGAGTTGTACCCAAACTTCAGTCCTCTCAGCATAAACCCAAGACTCTACCATGAGGATTTTGTATACAGGAGTTTATTCATTATTACATGTCAGAAGTAAGTAATATTATTTTCTCTGTTGCAAATTATCCTATGACATTGATTTTGCAAGAAGTGTGACAAATGTTGGATGAGTAGATGGGGAGATGACTAGAAGAACTAGTATAATTGGATGCTATGTTCCCTAAGGGCTTTGCATTCCATATAGTATCTGAAACATTTGAGCAACAATGTTTAGAAGATTAAATTGAGAAACGTGAGACAAAATAACCTAAAACAACAGATGATATTTAACAAATTAATCTTTCTCTCCAAGAACAGCGTACAATCCATGCACTTGAAGATTGCTTAGATGCTCTCAATACTTGGTAAGAATTAATTGCGTTTACAACTTCCCTCCTTTTTTTCTTTTACCAGGTGACGGCTGTGGGCACATAGTGACCTCTCAGGACAGTGGCACGATGACATCTAAGAATTATCCAGGGACTTATCCCAATCACACTGTTTGTGAAAAGACTATCACAGTCCCAAAGGGGAAGAGTCTGATTCTGAGGTTGGGAGATGTGAATATTGAATCCCAGAGCTGTGCTTCCAACTATCTTCTCTTCACCAGCTCCTTGGAGAAATATGGTAAGAAAAGAGATGTGAGCAGTAATGTAACCTGTCAGCAGGTTACATTGGAGATATGAGGAGAAGGGCAAGTGAGGTGTTAGTTAACACTTCAGCCTGGGAAGACGAGAAGAGAAACTTGCTTTGAGTGATGAGACATTTGTTTCCTAAGCTGAAACAGTGCAGGAAACCCCAGGCCACATTAGATGTCAGCTTTGTGTGCGTCTCAGAGGCTCTGAGTTTCAGTGTCATGGAGAAGAGAACTAGAGAGGTGTGACATTTGGCTAAAGCATCTACAGTTCATTCATTTATGTGACCCATGTCTATTGAATAGTGACCACGTGTTTCAGATACTCTGTGAATGACTGGGATACAGGCACAAACAAAACCTCCTTCATGGGGCTTAGACCTGAGGGCAGAGGAAGACAGGAAAGAAGCGGATATCAGATTGTGAGAAAGAAAAATAAGGGAAAATGAGGCATCCTCAGGTGACATGGAGCCTGTTTCAATCCTGTTGGTGCGCCCTCCGATACAGTGGTGTGGAAGGCCTCTCCAAAAAGGGTGCATTTGTGCAGAGACCAGAGAGAAGTAAGGGAATGAACTCTGCAGGTTATGACTGGGGCTCAAGTTTTCTGGTAAAGGGACAGCAAGCACAAAAAAGCCTTGGAAATTTAGCTCTCATGTTTTGAAGTATGCTGTTTGTACCTGGGAGCCAGAAATCACCACAACAGTGACTCTTTGGTCCTCAGCTCCAAGAAATATCTCGGAGTGGCACAACTGGAAAACGCAGGTGAAATTCTAGATACAACTTCTTTTGAGTTTAGAGATTTTCCAAAATTCTCTCTACATCAACTCCAAATATGATACAAGCTTTATATAACCTCCCACCACTGACCACAAGCAGTACAGGCAGTTTCTCAAATATAATCAGATGTCTGTCCTGCTTACTGACGCCATGGTCTAGAAGCCCAGAACAGCCCTAGGACAATTCAGAGAACTTAACTTATCTAATCCCAATGGAGGAAAAAATATATAAGATATTTTTGATTGTTTGCTTGCTTGTTTTTGTTTTGTAGTTGTTGTGTTTTTGAGATAGGGTCTTTATCGTTCAGGCTGCCTCAAACTTATCCTATCTCAGCCTGCTGAGTGCTAGCATATATTGGCACGAACAACTAGACATGACTCAATGTTTAAGATTTTTTTTAATCCCTGGGAATATTACATCTCTTTTATTTTTTATTTTTTTGCTCAAGGCTGGCACTCTACCACTTGACCCACACTTCCACTTCCTATTATGTCTATTTTTTAAACCAAAAAATTATTGTTGTCTACTAATAGTATAAAGTGAGCGGTTTTGTGGAAGTATTTTCTGTTGTGTGTATTTTAATGATTATGGAATTACTCTGTCAGGGTCAAGGTGGTGTTTTTCATATGATTGGTTGCAGTTTTTTAAACTAGATTTGGTTTAAATAGGAAAAATGACACCTAAGGGATGCTTAAGACTCCTGGATGTACTTGCTGTTAAGATACCTCTGATAATATGTGTTAACTTAGAAAGACACCTAAGCTAGGAGATTTCATTCAGGTTACAAGGAAGGGATCAAGTATTAGAATGCGAGTGAGGCCAGTGCTGGCTTTTCCACCCTGTCAGGAGAAGCATCCACCCTGCTTTGAAGATGGGCAGTTAATTCTACCTGCTCACTGTGCAGTGGAGGAATCAGAGCAGCTAAAACAAGGAACACAAGTGGCTTGTCTCCACCCAGCATTTTCTAGCAATTTCCAGTTATGCAAAAAGGAAGAAAAGAAAGGAATTAAGGACATATCTCAAATTGGGTCTCAAGATGGCTTTAGCTGCTTCAGAGTTCTGTCCTTTACAGAAGGTTCTTGCGTTTTCAAGATTTGGACTCCTGTTTTGGGGGGTTGGGGTTTTTGTTGTTGTTGTTCTTTTTTGTTGTTGTTGTTGTTCTTTTTTTAACCAGATCTCACTATGTGGTCTTGGCAGACTGGCCTCAAACTTGCTTTGTCAGCCTCCCAAGTGCTAAAATTACAGGCATGCACTACCATACCATGGTTAAAATTTGGACTTCTCACTAGGTAATTGGTAATGAATTATGATTCATTTTTAGCAATGAAGTCAATTAAATTTTTATTTCTCTTCAATGTTTATTTATATAAAGTTATGCTTATGTTCGAATAGAATCCACGTTCATAGAAATGAACACATTCATTGTCTATTATATACCTAGCACGCACTTGACCCCTTTTTGTTTTCTAAAATCCCCACATCAACATTGGAGAAAATATTAATTTGTTTTTGTAGATAAATGGGGATACAATGAGATCAGTAAACATGCCTAGCTGGCTCACACGCCAGCTAGTTCAAGGTGAGGTTCTTCATGACTCCCAAGACTCCTATTTCAGTTGCTCTTTCCTTCCAGCTCCAATACCCAGAGAAAGCCATTGAATTACCACCTTCTTAAGTCAGCCAGTTCTTTATTATGTTATGTAGCAATTTTTGCATAGAACAGAAGGAGTAAGTAGTGTTTTTAGTTGGGGATGTTATTAAGATAAAATATTTAAAGATGCTCAAAAGTCTCTCATTTGTGTCTTTTAAGGATTTCCTTTGATTGGAAGCAATAACCAAACCTGTACTTTAACTGAATTAAAGTAGTTTCCTGGTCAGTTTGAACTTCCCCAAGTGGAGAAGGCAGAAGTCCTTTGTCTGCCTGTGATTTCAGTTCAGGGAGTGAGCAGTTCTATGAGCTGGCTGCTGTCCAGCCCTTGGGGAAGGGGAGAGAGGGGAAGGAGAGGCTTCTCTGTAGTCATGTGGCCACAGGATCTGTAAGGTGGTGGAGGTTGGGCCCCTAAAGCCAGTGGAGGATCCAGGAATCCACAGCTACTTAGAGAATGCCCACTGACATGGAGCACCTCCTGTAATTCTAACAGTTGGGGGTGGGGTTCAGACAGCTGAGTTTTCATTAACCAGCTAATTGTTACAACTCACAGAGCAAAACTCTTTAAGACTCAAAGCTCACAGCATTTTGAATGTCAAGTTCATGTTTTGGAAAAGATTAGTGTTTTCTGGCAAGTGTTTGCAAGCTTTGCCAAGAGTGGCCATACTTGAAATGTGGTTACATTAATCCCTGTGACTATGCCAAGTGGCCCAGTATCTATCCATCATTCTATAGTTAAGTAGTAGTTGTTTATCCCCATGCCAATTTTAAGAGTTTGGTGTATATACTTGGGGAATTTTGAAAATTCACATTCTTGTTAACAAAATGAATATAGAATTACTCAGATATGCCCTTGATCTCAGTAGTATGAAACAGCCTGTTAAGCCTGACACAGGTGGCCTAACTACCCAGGAGGCTGAGATCTAAGGATGTTGGTTTGAAGCCAGCATGGGCAGGAAAGTATATGAGACTTTTATCTCCACTAAATTACCAGCCCTGGGTTTATTGTCCTTCTGTTTGCTGTGTATTACAACTATGGCTGACTTTTTGGATTCAAATACTGAGAAGGATATTAAGAAACTGAAAATACATTCAATCTCTTTAAGGACAAAAAAAAGTTATTGAAACCCAGTGTTAGCGCCTCATGCCTATAATCCTTACTCAGGAAACTGAGATCCAGAGGACACAAAAGTTCTCAAGAAGTCACCAAAATGACCAACAAAGGCTAGAGATGTGGTTGAAGTGATAGAGTTCCAGCTGAGTAAGCAAGCCTTGCAAGTATGCTGAACTTAAGCCCTGTGCTTCCATACTAGAAGAAAACGCAAATAAAAGTCATTAAAGATACTTTTAAACATCAATTTGACTTAAAATATATTTATTGTTACTGTAAAGGTAATGTACAGTGGGGTGGTGGTTACATAAGCCACATAAAGAATACATTTTTTTTGAACAATGTCACCCAAATATATTAAGAAAATTTAGGTACATCATTTATACACTGAGATCCTATGTGTTATTATCATGGCAAAATTGCTGGAGATACACTTTGCTTAGCAGACATTGTTTATACTATAACTAAGGGAATACTGGTTTCTTATTTAAGACGTCAAAGTAATTGAGATTCCCTTCAAAAGAAACAGCACTGTCCCCTTTTTTAGGTCAGCCAGGAAGCATTTAGTTGCCATACCCTCTCAGCCTCCTTTAACCGAGCCTGTCTTCATCTTCTGCACAGTTTAAAGCTGTTCAGTTATTTTGTTACAATGTCTGTCAGTTTAGGTTTGTTTTATGTTCCTTTGTTCTATGGATGCATTTTGGTCCAGCAATACTATCATAAAAATAATCTTAAAAGATTTGCTTATAGTAATCTTCAACATCAGAAATTTTGAGGTCATATAGGTACTCCCAGAGTGGAAATGAAATCTGCATTACATTTTCTTTGCCTGCATTTTCAGTTTTGTCAGGTGGCCTGTATTTTTGTGTATTTCAAAGATGCAACGTTTTAAGTTGTTTCAAGCTATAGTATCTTTCCCTACCAATTCTTTGCTGTCAAGCAGATAAATGTAATGGGAGACTTTGAATAGACTCAAATGGAAGATGATACCTTCTTTTCAGAAGATAATTACGATAAATCAGTTCATCTATGTTTGGTTGTCAAATCTGTTCTCTCTCCCACTTATCCCCAACTTCTGCTCCCTGTCTCCCTCCCTCCAGTTCCCAGTCCAGGGGACTTTTTAATGTCTGGCAACTCCAAACTCCTTCCTCTATGTTCATCCTCACTTTCTTTTAGACTTTCAGCACAATACCAATTTCAGGTTAAGATTTTGTGGGGAGTGAATATTAAGAGTGTTTATTTTATTTTTTGCCCACGCTAGCCTTGAACTCACAATCCTTCTGCCTCAATTTCCCAAGTGCTATGAGTATAGGATTGTATCCCCACGCCTGGGGTGCCTTTTATTCATCCTTTATCTGCTGAGGCATGGTTTAGTTTTATGGTTGCAGATGTGCAGATGCTCAGTCAATATTTAGCCAATCAGATTGCATGTTGCTTCATTTTTAGCAAACGTAATA